TATCAGAACTGTAGTTCTTAACCTCTCCTGTGCATCAGTCAACTAGACAGCTCATTAGCACATTGCTTCTCTTGCCTCCAGAGTTTCTGATTCAGTAGGTCTTAACAGGGGCCTGAGAACTGAGTTCTAACACATTCCCCGATCATGCTGATTCTCCTAGTCTGAGGGCCACACTTTGAAACCCACTAGATGAGAATATTGAAAAGCTGTTCAAAAAATGTCAAAGAGCTTGTTCCAGAGAAGGAGAGAGAGAAGAGGGCGTGGGGCGGAGGGAGGGAGGGAGGGAGGGAGGGAGGGAGGGACTGAGAGACTGACTAAGTGTGTTACTGGCATGGGTCAGTTCTGGAAAAATACATATAACACCATAATAGTCACTTCAAAAAATGAGATATGGGAGCCTGAGGAATTAGTTTTGAAATTTATACCTTTGTAAGTTATTTTTACAATGTGCATGTATTGCTTTTGTATTTTAAAAAGGAAATGAAATGAAACCTTCTTGAAGATTGATATTAAAATATTTATGGATTTTAAAAAGAGCTCGATAAAGTGATCTAGTCATACTACAAACATTTTTAGTGCCTGCTGTATGGCAGATGCTGGTAGCTTCTGGAAATACAAATCGTTTGCTAAAGCATCGAGTCTGGTGATAGGGCTCTACAAATAACAACTCCAGTTAGAATCACAGTGAACTCCCTAGTAGTAGGGATCAGGGCCTAGCTGATAATAGGCAAATGATGAATGGATGATCAAATCCAGGTAAGAAATAAGGACCAAAGGGAAGAAAAGACCAAATGGAAGGTTTGTTTTTGTTTTTGTTTGTTTATTTGTTTGTTTGCTGGGTTGCAAGAGTGGGGAGTGGGGCATGTGTGTGCGGAGGGTGGTGATAAGCCTGGATAAGCAATGTGAAAGGAAACAGTTCACCAGGAAGGGCTCTAGGAGGTAGAAACAGGAGGATCAAGAGTTTAAGGTATTCTTGGCTACATAGCAAGCTTGAGGCCAGCCTGGATTACAGAAGACCATCTCAGAAAGGTGTGCCAGGGAGGAGAGGGGCTCTCTGAAGTCCAAAGATTAATAATACTGCAGGTTTAATGCTGAAAAGGTGTTATCTATTCTGAGAAATTCCCATTCC